TACAAAATTCATGTTCGAAAAATTAGGCCACCAGGTCAGATGCCATAGAAAAAATGGTAACGATACAATTTTTTACAAGTAATCCCGGCGGTTAATAGCAATTTTTGTCGATAATTTGTCGACAAATGCCCCCTTCGACAAATTTATCGACAAAAAAAAACGACAAATTCATCGACAATTTGTCAACAAAATTTTGTCGATAAATTTGTCGATAAATTTATCGATAATTTGTCAGGTAAATTTGTCGACAAAATCGGAAAATATTCTTCGATAAGGCACACTGGTTATAATACAGTCCGCTTCATAAAGATAGGACAAAATGAGTGTTCTGCGAAAACTAAACAAGACAGGGAAATTTTATAAACGCAGTTTGATTCAAAATGTAGAAAAACCTATGTCTACAAATTTTCAGACCGATTTAGCCAATTTGAAGCTCACAAAACTCACAATCTACTTTTTAGGCCGCACTCATTAGTCCTCACTCACCTAACGAAAGTTCAAATATTTTATTATTCAAGAAGTTTTGGTGGAACAGTAATTTTTTATTCTCGAATTTTCTGAATTCATATTCCTAATTTTTTAGATATTTTCCACAACTTGCACTCATCGAAGAGCTATATTTACAGATTATTTAACAGTTCCGAATCCAATCTTCCTGTTTTTCTGTTTGTCCAGATGTCCGCACTTTTTTGATCTTCCTGTTCTCTCTACTTTCTAGTTTTCAAGTCACCAAAGATTATCTAGAACTTCCTCTTATCTCTAGAAAAACCTAAAAATGAAACTTGAAAAACCTTCGCTTTTTTTCCCTGAATCACACCCATGTAAACTTGTTCAGTGTGATCAATCTTATGACCCATTCCGAATTTATTGTGACACCAAAAATAGAAATGAACTTTATTTTATGATCAGATGTGTCGGCTACTTGAGCCAATAGGGAAGGTTCGAGATATTCTTTGTAAACACTTGAAAATAAATTTTGGAATTTTCGAATAGAAAGTTAGTTCGCGATTAATAATAGTGGACTTTGATCAGTAATCAAGGAAACAGCTTTATTTTTAAAAATTGGTCAAAAAGTGACTGAAAATCTAAATTTTTAATCTCAGAATTTCAGAATCTCAGAATCTCAGAATCTCAGAAAGTTTCTAGAAAGCCTCATACAAGGCATCGAATTCCCGCCTAACCGAAAATTCATAGACTTTTCAAATTTTGAGTTTTTCTAACAGTGGTCACTTCTGATTCTTGATTCCCAACCTTTTTTCTCCAAATTAAATGAGACCACTTGAAACAATTCAAGTGTTCCTAATTCCAAAATGACGTCTTCTTCGAGAAATCTCAGACATAATCGGACACAAAAGTTTATTATTCGAAAATTTCAAAAAAAAGAACATCATAATAGAAAGACAATGAAGTTTTTCAATGAAAGCAGATGACTAATACAGGGAAAAATGAGATCAAATACCCGAAAATTTTGGGGGGAAAACGAATGGGGAGGGAAAGATCGGGATAGTTTGAAAATGGACAGAGAGAGTGGAGAGAAAGGATGGGGTATAGAGAAACGAGAATATCTGATTTCTCTGCGTCTGGTTTTCCACAAAAAACGAAGCAAAATGTGACAAATTTACTCGGTTTGGAAAATTCGGGAAACGGCAAAATTTATTCTCATGGTCCATTTTCAAAAATTCATATTTAAAAAGCTTTTAGATTAGCCATAGGTTCTGGAATATTTCAGAATTAAACATAATCCGTCCTTGTCCTAATCGGTAGACTAGGCATTGGCGGAGGAAGTGACGTCTCGTGCCATGAATCGCCCCGTTTCAGCGACGTCTTCCCATCATCGTGCTGCAAAATTTTGTCGGTCTAATTTTTTGATCTACTCTGTTTTTCTACTTCTAACAGTCTACAATCGAAAGTTCTCCCACCGATTCCCAGTCATTTCCATTCGCACTTCTTTCTGATCCACGATCCTCGATTTTATCGTCACACACGGGTTTGCCACTTCGACGTACGAATATCAACCAGAGTTGTTCAGTCACCTGCGAAAAATGAATACTGTTTCTTGCACTTTTTGAAAAAAAAACTGGGTTTTTTCGAAAATCTGTTTTTTGTATCAATTTACTTTAGGTCAAATCCGGACGTTCTAGAAGTGACCGTTTAGCACTACTGACTTCAAACCTTAGACCTTAAAGGTGGGGGGACAGGAGGTTTTTCGTAGTTTTTTTGTAGCTAGAGTATGCATTCTACCGTCACGGTGTACAACGCTTAATGTCACTCTGCGTACAGCTGTCGTCCTCGCCTTTATGTATGCAATCGGGCGTCCGCTTTCTCTTTGCCCGCGTGGCTCAGTCGGTAGCGGCGCCGCACTCTCAATCATCGCCCTCACAAGTTCAACTCCTCGAGGGGCATCTTTGAACGGAATTTCGAGAACATTATTTTTTCATGTCTCCCCACCTTTAAAGAATCATAAACCTTAAAGTACCTTGAACGACCATGAGTTTTTTCGGTTCGGTTTATACAAGGCTTTTGGGTTTTCTAATGAATTTTCAAAATTAAATTCAAAGAATACGAAATTTCAGTCGGAAAGTTCCAGTGAAAATTCCAACACAGCTTTTTTTTTGCATTAACAAAGACTTCAGCTTTCAAAGACTATTATCATTTTTACTGTTTCAAATTTTTTGAAAATTTTCAAAGAATTTTTTTCGAAATTCAGTTTTGTGTTAGAAAAATTGAAACATGGAGAATTAAGACCAAATTTGAAATTATAAAAAACCTTCGGGGCTAAACTGTCTGGCTCCCGCTTACGATACCCGTAATCTACTCAGGTAATTCTGGGGAGAGGTTTGGGGCCTAATCGGAGTTGATGTGGGAGTTACCCGCGAAGTTTGGGAGTTACGCGACATACATCCTCACATACAGAAGTTGGTGTTTGTTATTTTATAAAAAATTAGTTTTTTTTTTTGAATTTTCATTTTTTTTACTGTTTCAAAAATTTCAAAAAGTTTTGAAATCCGTGGTTAAGTAGTGGTCAGCTATCTACTAGCGTGAAACATTATGAATAGAAAAATGTGAAAGTTGGGAAATTTTTCATGTCCCCACACCTTTCAAGCAGCTAGCATTAAAAAATGGTCAGTTCCAGAACGTCACAGTTGCGATATGGCCAGTCTAGACATCACTATTCCTATCTTTGAAATGAAAAATTTTGGAATATCTTGACTTTTTATGTGACTTCAATACCACTCAAAAAATATTCCAAAATTTTTATTCAAGGCAATCCAAGGTTTTCGGCAACAGGACCGCGTCTTTTTGGTTACTATACTTTTTGAATGGGTAGGCGTGGTGGCTCTAAAAGCTTATTAATGGCTAATCTTATTTCCGAAATAACGGAGAGTTCGGTCCACGGCAAACGGTCCAAAACCAGGAAATGTCTTGTTTTCCAGAAACAAGATAAGGCGAAAATTTCAGCAATGGGTTCCATTCATTAAGCTTGTTTTTTGACTGAATTGTCAAAAAAAAAATTCCCCAAAAAAATGAGATTTGTGAAACAGTAATTGTTTAGGGATTTTTATTGAAAGTTTTAATTATGCCTGCGGTTATCCCAAAAACTTCTCAAAAGCTCACCTTAGCCGCCATCAAATTTCCCGAATGCGAAGCTATCATTTGTAGTAGGAACACTCCATCAGCTCTCAAAAATCGATGTACAAACCGACTGATTTGATCTGATTGAATATCCAAATGCTTCGATACGAAATTCTCTCGACACGTGTTTGATACCAATGCAATGAACCAAAATAACAAGTTCAATGCTGTCACAATTGCCAATACCGTAAGCCAGAGCCATAGAAAAATGAAGATCTTCTCGGTGAGCATGTTGATAACCAGCACACACTGAACAGTGTGTCTATGCACATTTCCAAGAACTCGAATTTCAAAATCACAAAGTGTGACTCTTGGGAACTTTCCAGAATCTCTCCATTCTCTTCCCATGAAGAGATCGTAGAGTACATGAGCACCGAACATTGGATAATCCGAAGTTTGAAGGAATGAATTGAGCAGCATAAATTGAAGAATGACATTTGCCAAATGGAGAGCTTTGATGAAAATGTAGACTGAGGAAACGTAGGCTCCATAGAATTTCCCAAGCTTTACGACTGCAAAAATGTAGACACTGTTCCTTCTGGCTCCGTGCTCTCTTTGGTACATCAAAGCATCGTCTATGTGTCTCGCAACAATATCGACTGTCTTGTCACGGACCACTGGATCCACGTTTTGTTCTCCACAGACTAGTTGGAGAACTAGACCAGCATTGAGACCTGGAATGTTTTGAACTGTACTCGCTCTTTAACTAGGATTTGTGAGCCAAATTCACAACTGTGAAATGTGGGATGTATATGTATGAAGAGCATTGTAAAGTTTGAGCCAATTTATCTCGGTTTCTATGAAAGATATCGAAAATTTCTCTAATTACTCTTTGATATCATTCACAGGAAACGGAAAAAATTGGCTAAAAGTTGAAAGTTAAATGGTCTTTCTTGTATATGTTATGTTATTGCACATTGAGCTCAATTATCTCGGTACCTATGAGAGATATCAAAAATCTGTCAACCGATAAAATGTTTGTTTTGATATCATCAACATTTTAACAGTTGACACATTTCTGATCTCTCTTACAGGAATTGAGATAATTGAGCTCGAAGTGCATTAAAGTGTTTTCCACAATAAAAAAGGTTGGGCCTAAAATATTTTAGATACTTTGTGAAACAGACAAAAAAATTACCACTTTGACCAGCCAGCATTCTCCATACCGAAGAGGGAATATGAAATGTGAGTGCCGCAACGGCTAATACAAATGGAACCCACTGATAATATCCAATTTGTCGACGTTCCCTATCGTCCAATCTGTGGGGTATCAGATCCTGGAAGTTTGAAAAATTAAATATTTGAAAAATTAATTTTGCAAGGTAATTCGTTTCAAGCCCAACACCAACATATCATGTGAATATCCATTTTTAGAGCAGAAATGATGGTGGCTTAGAAAACTCAACTTGCAAAAGCTAGGCCAAAATAACGTTAGGCCGGTGTTTTACAATATTTTACACCACTAAAATTACCAGTTCTTGTTGTTCAGTCCCGTTTTTTTTCATGTTTCTGTGTTTCTGTACATCCTGACGTACGAAAAAAAACTCACTTGAAATGGTACCCAATACGTGTTCTGTACCCAACAATAATTCTCCGTATACTGCTCCATGGCTCTCGTAAATTGTGCCGGCACAAAACATTCTATCGGATGGCCGACTGCAAAAAATATGGTATTTATAGAAAAATGAATGTGTTACATCATTTTGTGATTCTTTCAGGGAGAAGTGTCATTAATTTTAGACCAGTCGGTTTGCGCCCCTCCGGGGCTGAACCTCCTGGCCTCCGGTTACAGTACCCGTAGTTTTATAAAGAGGCTATGACACTTTCATTCAAGGAAATTTTTTTCAGGGTCTAATCTCACAAAAAAGAAAGAAATTTAGAAATTCACAGTTTTAGTAATTCACAGTTCCTTCTGAAATTGTGAGCGTCGGGAATTCTGTAATTTGGAAATTCTGATTATCCAGTATTGAAAATACAGAATTCAAGACTAATGTTTGGTATTAAAAATTTAATATTTCCAAAATTTAGAATTCACTAACTTCAGAAGTTCCAAGTACAACGATTCGGGTGTACACCGGGATACAACTGATTAGGGGTACAAAATTAGAGATTCTGGGTTAAAAAAGGCCCGGTTAAACTATATTTTCCGTACAACTAACTTGAAAAAAAGTTTCCCCCCGAATTATGGATGTTGTACCCCTAAATCACTTTGTACCCCCTTGTACCTCTGAAGCGTTGTACCCCGAATTTTTCACCGAAATTTAGAGATTCGAAAGTTCGAAATTCCGAAATTTGAGAATTCCAGTAGTTAGGATATTGAGAGATTAAGAGTTCAAATTTAGAGTTTCGAAAATTTGGAAGCCCAACAGTTCACAGATTGCCGAAGTCTAAAAATTGTACAATGGAGCAAATGGGAATCATAAAAAATTCAGGGCATTCCGACCTTTATTTTGAAACCCCGTAAAATGATCTCAATAATCTTCAAAATTTTGTTCCAATTTGCCTAACGACTCAAACAAAAACCTCTAAAATAATAGCTTCAAAATAGAATCAACTTTTCTTCTATACATAATAGTTTTTCTGCGATATCTCTCGAACCCATGAAAGAAATTTTTACACACTTTCCCTTCTGAACTTTGTTTAAAAATCAAAAAAGAAGTTGCCGCATGCCGGACTCGAACCCGCGTCGCGAGGGCAAAAGTGTAGTACGCTAACCGCTACACCACGGAGCACCACAGCTGAACAGGTGGAAATGACGTACACGTGTGTAGGTTTTTGTTGCCTTTTCCTCTTTCACCTCCTCTTTCCCTCTCTTTCTCTCTCTGCTCACCACGCATCGAATCTTTGAAAAACGAAAAGATCGGGCATAAACTAATAAAAATTTCCGATTCGCCTGCCAAAGTTTCAGCTCAATCGGTTAACTTTGAGTGGGTGAAACGGGACGCTATATCCATCCGGACATACGGAATTTGGTGAATGTTATTAGTAATGATAACGTTACAGGAAAAAGAGGGCTTTTAAAGGGGGGTGGACTGCTAGACAACTGCTGAAAGAAGTATAAAACCTATATTTTATAGAAGTTGAAACAGTATTTTTTTTAAATTTTTGTCTATTTGTATAGTGTCAGAAAGGAAATAAGAATATTTGATGAAAATTATAGCCAAATCGAGAAGGAACTGATACGACTTTTGAAAGATTCGAAAACAACAATTTTAGAAACAGTGAAATTTATTCAAACCTATGTTTTTAAAGTTGACCTATTTTTCATATTTGAAACTTTCAATCATTTTTTCCCGGAAACTTTTAGAGGAGGTAAAAATATGTAATTAATAGCAAAACTTAATCTATATACTATTTTGTTTTTTGTTGTTTGGGGAGCATCAATTTTATATACCATTTCTAGGAAAAATGATGTATAAGACAGTAATGTTTTTTAGTAGTTGACCTGTTCAAACTTCACAATTCCAATGTTTTTAGTCTGGAAACTTTAAGAGGAGATGAAAAAAATGTAATTAATTGAAGAATTTATGTAAAAATTATTATGTTTTTTGTTGTTTAAGGAGAATTGCGTAAATGCGTAAGTTATGATAAACCATTAATTTTAAATACCGTTTCTAGAATAAATAGATTCTTTTAAAAATGAGAAGGACGTAAAAACGGTGGAAGATGTATGAAAACTATTGATGAAGAAATCAAAACAGTAATTTTTTGGAATTTCTTGTGTTTATTTAAATTATCAGTGGGTTCCATTTGTATTAGCCGTTGCGGCACTCACATTTCATATTCCCTCTTCGGTATGGAGAATGCTGGCTGGTCAGAGTGGAAATTTTTTTGTCTGTTTCACAAAGTATCTAAAATATTTTATGCCCAACCTTTTTTATTGTGGAAAACACTTTTAATGCACTTTGAGCTCAATTATTAGGAAGCACATAGATAGTCCCAGAAAACGTTTTGCAGAATTTCATGAAGTTTTAGTGAGTTTTAGAATAATTTTGAAAATTTCGATTCTCAGCCCTGTGGGTTCCCTATAAGCTAGAAGACCCAAGACACCATAGACACAAAGCGGTCGGTAGTCCATGACTAAATACCACACACCACTGTAGGAGTCCCATGTCCCTTTGAGTTATTCAACAGACAGTTTGAGTTAGACAGACAGACACACAGACACATAGACAGAAAAGTTTCCTTACTATTAGTAAGAAGTAGATTTTATTCCGTAAATACCGCATTTTCTCTAATTCATTCTATTCTCGGAAATCATCAGAAAAATTAACAAAAAATGTCTGCACTAACCGAAAAGAAAAATGCACAGCCAGGGTGGGCTTCAAATAGAGGTGGGCTCCTGTTTCGGATTTCCGAAAGTAAACGATGGAGTTATTAGAATGAGATAAAAATTAGTAGTTTTCTTGTTAAAAGGTAACAGTACTAGCACGACTTTCGAGAGTTTTGAATTCAAAAAATTTTTGAAACATTTTCTTGATTGTTTTTTTCTTTATTCTATAATTATCCCATTTTTGGCTTCAAGTTGTTGTAAAACTCTCAAAATTTGCCAGAATTTATTTTTATTTACTTAATTTTGGATACATTAAAAATCTCTTCTCAAACGTATCAAGAATCATGATCCTTGAAACAGTAAATATTTCGAATCCCTCATATTTGTGATTGTTTTCTTATATATTTCATAACCCCGTTTTACTTGTCCCTATCAAAAATCTTGTACTTTTTCTTTCACTCTTATTTTTCCACCTGACTCTCCCCCAATTTTCATTTCCTTCTTCTTCTTTTCCTAGTAAGAAACCTATCAAGCATGAATTTATTAAAATTTTTCGGTTATCTGCTTCTTCTATTTTTCCCTCAAAATCTCCAGAGGATGACACGCAAAATCTCCCGAAATTCCATGAATTAAAGATAGGATCTTTCACCTACTCAATCTAGACACTTGAGAGATTCTGAGAAAAGAAAAAAGCAAAAAAATTAGAATAAAAAATGAAGCTAATTTGGAAACCGAAAAGTAGGAATAACGAATCTAATTAGTGTATAAAAAGTACTTTTATAATTTTCATAAGTTTTTTTTTCAAAATTCTGTGTCTATTTTGATCTATAACAAAAAACAAAAGTAACAAATTCTCAGGTATTTTTTCTAATGAAAAAACTCACCATATTGTTTTGCCGACACTAAAACAGCAAACATGAGGACCATGGTGGATGTATAGAGGTAATGAAGACGGTCCACGAAATCATCGTCTACTCTGGAAAACACATTTTTTAGGTTAATTATGTCTAATTGGGGGTCTTTGTGATGACAAACTTAATTGCATAAATGACTGATAGTGAGACTCTTTAACTTTTCGAAGTTTGAAATTTTCTTGAGATTTTTTACTTTTTTTAGCTACAGTATGCATTCCGACGTGACGGTGTACAGTGATTAGGGTTTACAAAGCTTGCACCATGGGAGCTCAGCTGGTAGCAACGCGGCACCTTCCACGTTGGGCCGAGAAGTTCAACTCCTCGAGGGGATTATATAAACAAAATTGATCCCTCATCCAATATAATGGAAATAACACTACTTTCTAAAGATTCGAATTAAAACATTTTTTTTGAAACAGTGAAGTTTTCAAAAAGTTGACCTGTTCACATTCTTCAAACCCGAATATACTTTTTCCGGAAGCCATAATTTTCGTAAAATTTCAATAAACTTTCACTGTTTCAAAAAAATTTGGACAGGTTCAATTTTCGATTTTTATTAATTGTTTCCTGAATGTTTTTGAAGAATCAATGAACGAGACTTTAGAAATAGATCGCTCAAGGTTTCAATTTCCAATAACGAAAATTTTGAAAAACAGTTTTTTAGTTTTTTTTTGGATAATGACTAGAAGAAAGTGCACATCAGGCCTGTGCGGCAACAAAATTTTTTCGGCAATTCGGCAACTCGGGAATTGCGGAAAAAAAATTTCGGCAATTTCGGCAACTTTCGGCAATTTTCGGCAACAGAAGTTTTGCGTCTTTTTTTAGTAAAAAGGATACGTAACTCACCTGAAAATGCTTCTATCAGGCTCAGAGCTACAGAAAATGTGTTTCATAAGTTCCTTAAAAAAGTAATTACAAAAATTGGCAACTCAAGGCCACATTTTTTATGCAAACTATTTCTCTTTAGCAATAGAGGGTATTCCAATGGTTGAAAATATTTGTTCCGATTGTGAGTTTTGAAAATAGTGCGCTCAACTTGTTAGGCTACTCACGACACACGTTCCCTAGAGATTTGAGACAGATTGGATAATTTTTTTTGATGAGTTGTGACTCGTGATATCTATTTTTCTCCTATGCTCACAAATTTGAAGCCCATTTTTAGATCCGATGCTAGTATTTTTGATGATTATTGGGACACATTTCCTCTAAAATGCACTCTGAGGGATGATGGTATTCAAATTTTGATTTTTCGGACTTTGAAATCATTTTTTTGACTAATAAAATTGTGAAAATCTCTAAATTCAAAAAAATTTCAGTTGACGAAATTACCGAAATTTTTTTGCCGAAATCGGAAACGGCAATTCAGCAACTTTTTCTTCGTTGCCGATTTCGGCAACGGCAAATCGGCAACAAAAATTCGGCAATTTCGGCAATCGGCAATTTGTTGCCGCACAGGCCTGGTGAAAAAAAACAAAACTAAGAAACAAAACTAAGAATCAACAAAACTAAGAATCAGGGTTTAAAAAAAACTAAGAATCAGGGTTAAAGTAGGGGAAACAGGAGGTTTTTCATATTTTTGTAGTTACGGAATGCATTCTAACGGGACGGTGTGCAGTGGTTACTGTTCGCCTCGAAAAAATCCTTTTTTCATGCCCCCATACCTTTTAATAAATTATTACTGTTTCAAAAAGTTCCGGCATTCAGGTTCAATTGTTCAATTGTCAATTTACGTGATTCAAAGTTTTGGAAAATGTTAACCGATAAACCATCGTTCATGTTTCCATTTTTCCGTTATAAAAATTTCGAAAAACAGTAAATTTTTGGAAAATTTACAAGTGCCTAAAAATGTTCCAAAATTGAGAATCAGGTTTAAAAGTTCATGCATTGTATCGTATATTAGATAATCCATGGATAGCAAAAAAAGTTGGGAAATGTGAAAATGAAATTTGCGAACAGATTACTCATCATTCAATTTTCTCATTACGTAAATACCGTAACTTAAAAACTCTGAAAATCTCCAGTTCTCCGTTCTTAAATTTCGCAAAAAATCTTTGGAAATTTTGGGAATGATGTACCTATATTCAAAAAAGATCATATATAACTCCAATTTCCAATTATGAAAAATTATAAAAACAGTAAATTTTTTGGAAAATAACAAAGTGGAAATTGCACATGTACGAAATTCAGAATCAAAATTTAAAGTCTTCCTATTACGATTGCGACAAACCAGTAAAAGAAAAGAATAATTGGTTCTATCAGCAGAAAATACGCACCAGCCAGTGGTCTGATGCGCCACAGGCGCCGCAAACAGTCTGGTTGTGTTAAAAACCAAAAAAGTTCACTGTTTCAAAAATTTCTAATAACGATTTTCAAATAAGGTTAATTCACTATGCCGTCGATCAAGACTCCTCTATCGCGAAAATCGGGTAACCCATATTTAAAGTTTTACTCACAAACAAAATAAAAGTGTGTGTTTTGATGGGGGTTTTTTTTGTTTTCAAGTTCGAAGCTGTTTTAGTTCAAATGGTGTAGTTTAGGACGAAAAATGGGGAAGAGAAGGAAGTGTACTTTTTAAAAGAAAAAAGAACATCTAGGAAGCGGGTTGGGTACTTTGAATTTACTAAAAAATTGCAGTTTCACAGAAAAAAACTTGAAAGTGAGAAACTATTTTTGAGTAGTTGAGATCGTGTTTTAAAAAAAGTTTCTAAAAATGAACAGATTTTCGTTTTACTTTTTTGGTAATTTGAATTGCTCCCCGAGTTTAGAACAATTTCACATACTTGCGACCGGGCCATCGCCGGTTCTGCCATAGTTTCTTTTAGAAGCAATAATTTTAGACCAACTAAATTAGATATGATAGAACTTGACGAGTGCTACAAAAAGATATTATTTCAAAAACTGTGTCTTGTCCATGAACGAAGTTACAGACAAAAAACAGATGCCCGGCCACTTTATGACTTGTAACTCTGTTCACAGACAAGACGCAGTTTTCTAAGTAGTATGATTTTGTAGTACTCGCCGAGTTCTATCATATTCAATTTGGTTGATTCAAAAATAATGATTCAAAAATAAACTATAGCAAGGCCCGCGAAAGGCCCGGCAAAGGCCCGGTCGCAAGTATGGGTTTGGGTACTTTGAATTGAAAAAATTGCAGTTTCACAAAAAAATCTTGAAAATGAAAACTCCAGATTTTTGTTCCTTTTTCAGAATCTCCCCGAATTTTGAAAAAATTTCGAATTCCTTGTCTTCAATTTCACAATTTTACTTGCGTTTAAAATTTCCATTATTTCATAACCCTCAGATTCAAATTATACCCTCTCCAAACAAATTTTATTGGTCTCTCTCTCTCTCTCTCTCTCTCTCTCTCTCTCTCTCTCTCTCTCTCTCTCTCTCTCTCTCTCTCTCTCTCTCTCTCTCTCTCTCTCTCTCTCTCTCTCTCTCTCTCTCTCTCTGCTCTTTCGAAATTTTCTCCTCCATCGAAAAAATGGCTCCACATGTCTTCGATCAAAAAGAACGGGTGGACGCAAAAATATTGTCTCTATTTCTCTAATTCTCTCTCTCATTTCTCCATTTTTCAGCGGAAGATTTGGCGATCGGATAAAAAGAGCAGAACTGGATCAGAAAGTGAAATATCGTTGAGCGATACGAAGAGGAATATATCTTCTTCTTTTTCTTTCTTTTTTCTTTTTTCCATTGCCAACCGGGATCAGAGAAGAAACACCTGTCTTTTTTGCGAGTCACTCAGGAAGGGTCCGTGTTGGATTCAGAAATATATCGGCTGGGGGTCCGAGAGATATAGAGAGAGGATGTATACACATTACATGTGATTACATTTCGGAAAAAGACGAAAATTGAGACGATTCAGGGAGAGAAGAAAATGAAAATTATGATCGGGTAGGACAGAACTTTTGCAAAAAAAAAAGAGAGAAGATGAAATATGATTTTTAATGTTTTATTATTATGTCGGCTGTAGTTTGGATGAATCAAAACTAATGCAAATGGAAATAAAGCTATTAATTGAGGCAATAAAAAATTTTTGCTGTTTCGGAGAAAATATTTTTTCAGTCCGATTTATTTGCAAAATGATTCAATTTTTTTTTTTTCAAAAAGCTATTTATAGTTCAAACTATAGAAGCTAGATGTTGAATTTTGGAAAAATAACTTTTTTTCCAATTGAATTTTTTTCTATAAAAATCATACTTGCGGACGGGCACAAAGCGGGCCGGGGCGGGCCCTGTCATAGTTCCTTTTAAGATTGATACTTTTTGACCAACTAAATTAGATAGCGTAGAACTCGACGAGCACTACAAAATGATACTATTTGGGACACTGTATCATGTTTATGAACAAAGTTACAGACCAAACGGGCCGAAAAAACCGGCCCGGCCCGCATTTGCAGCTTTTTGGCTTGTAACTTTGTTCACAAATATGATACAGTGTCTCGAATACTATCATTTTGTAGTGCTTGCCGAGTTCTACCATATCTAATTTAGTTGGTCAAAAAGTATCAATCTTAAAAGTAACTATGACAGGGCCCGTCACGGCCCGCTTTGGGCCCGTCCGCGAGTATGATAAAAATTGGGTGGTATTTCAACTTCTTCTAAAAAATCTGACAGAAAAAAAAAACCTAGAAAGCATTAAAACGTCCAATATCTGATAATTTGAATTTCCAGTTATGAGAATTTTGGAAAACAGTAATTTTCAAAAACTGGCTGGTCTGACTTTGAGCTCAATGATCTTGGTTCCTATAAGAGATAACAAAGAAATGTACACTAATAAAATGTTTATCATAATATCATCATTATTTTATCAGTGAACTGATTTTTACTATTTTTCATGGCAACCAATATATTTGAGCTCAAAGGCACAGTGCCTACTTTTCTAATAGCCCAATCTATACGTGAACTTTGATCGCAACTATCTCGGTTCCTATAAGAGATATCAAAAAGTAACGAACTGATAAAATGTTAATGATAATATTACCAACATTTTATTAGTTGACCAATTTTTGATATTTTTCATAGAAACCGATATAACTGAGTTCAAACTTGACAGGGTCCTTTCTCTACGGTCAACATTTATATCTCGAAACCAATAGGTACCCCTAATTTCGGGTCATAACACGGTTTACAATCATCCTATAAGCTTCATTTTTGTTTCAAAATGAGCGAAGACTAAAAACTTCTAGACTAAAAACTACAATATTGAATTTGTGGGTATTAATAAATTTTCCTAGTAGTCATTCCCTGATCAACTAAAACTACCAGAAACTCATATATTAACAAAAAAAAATGAAACAGTAGTTTCTGTACTTTCAAAGTTTTCAATTTCCCATTGTGCTCTAACATGAGAGACACAGAGAAACCACACACTCTCGTTTCTCTGCGTCTCTTTCTCTCCCTGTTATTATTAGTCACACCAAGTCAAGTTCCCTACAACAAAATCCTATTTGTTTACTTTTTGACCCAAATTTCGGGACCTTCTTCTTCGTCTTTTCGGTCCGTTTTTGGTAGGCAAAAAGAAAGACAACACTTGTTTATTTCTAAGGAAATGACATCCTAGATTTTTTGACTAAGATTCTAACTCAAAAGTTTGTAGAGAATTGTTTTTCTGGGAGAGGAGGGGGAATTCGAATTCGGAGAATATAGAAAGGCGGGAGGTCGAAAAGTATAGAACACTCGAAAGTCGAAAAGGGTGATGAGGGAGAAGTACTTAAAGGAAACTAAAATGGAATACATTCTAGAAGAGAGATTAGAGGAAACTTGGAAGGTACAGAAAAACGAGAGTGTCTGGCTTCTCTGATTGTCTCAAAATAGGGTTGAAAACTAGAAAAGTCGCTTAATGGTTTTAAAGAATTGCTCAATGCTTTGAAAAATTGCTTAATGGTTTCAGCCAATTTTTGAAACAGTAAAAAATTTGAAGTTAGGATTCTTATTTAGTACTTTCTTGGGATGGCAGGTGAAATTAAAAATTTTCAAAAGCCGAAAGTACGAAATGAAAATTGGAAAAAGTACAACAAGACAAACCTTGGTTCCAAAAATCGAAGGGCTGAGGCCAAAAAGTGCATTCCTATCCGGAATCCACCGACCATTCGCAAAGTATTCTAATTCAGATGACTTCCTACTTCTTCTCCTTGAGAAACAACCTCCGACTGTCTTCTCCTCTATTTCTCCAGCACCCCCCCCCCCCCAAAAAATGGGCGGAGCCTATTCAGAAGCGGAGCAACAGCAGCTGTGTCTCACTCTCTCATTCTCTATTTCTTAGATTTTTTGTTTTTGTGTTTCTACTCTCTTTCACTCTCTTTTGAAGCGAATAGAAATATATAACAGAAAAGACGAGGCTCATTATAAAAAACCTTATTTTATGAATCTGAAACAAAAAAGGAAATGTTTAAAAGTGTTTAAATGACCGGAAGTGAGTGGGATGTTGATGGAAGAAAAAAAACGACGGAAGAACTTTTTTCCCGAATTTCGAAAAAAAAAAAAGATCAGAGAGAGAGAGAGAGAGAGAGAGAGTACGCAGAGAAACGAGAGTGTCGGGCTTCTCTGCTTCTCGTTCAAAAAAAATTAAAATTAAAATTAAACGATCTTGGAATCTTTTCTTGATTTTCAAAATTTTAGGAAACATAAATACTGTTTCATGGAAAACTGAATATTTCAAACATTGCATTTTTTCTTGATCCGCGAAATGATTTACGGAAAAATTATTGTTTCAAAAATTTTTAACTTGTGTTGTTTTTAAAGGAGGACTCCGACCAAAAATTTTTATTGTCTTAAAATGTCTCCGATGATGTGTATTTTCCGAATATTATTGCGAAAAAATTCGAAAAAAATTCGTTCCCCCCGAAAAACGCCGTTAAAAACACTAAATTCGCAAAAAAGGTGCCGCCGAGGGACGAGGATTTGAGTTGCCGCGCGATGAGAAACCTAGGCCGCGGCCATCGAAACCTAGGCCACGCATTGTGGACTTTGCAATTTTCTCGGGTTTTTTCAGCTTTCTTCTTTTTTTTCTGTTTTTTCTTTTGAAAACATAAAATTTCGAACAAAAATTGGCAATTATATGTGCAGAATACACAAAAATCAATAACTTCGTCATAAAAATTTCTTTGAATAATTTTTTTCAGTTTATTACATTCGACCATTGAAAAAAAACTAAATAAAAGATAAAAACTCAGAAATTTCTTAGACATTTAGCACATTTCATCGTCAGAAGACTCGGATCGATCGCTAGAAATTTCATAGTCTCTGTTTTCGCGAGAAATCCCGATTTCTTCGGTCTTTTCCATGCTTGGAGCATCACTTGCTCTTGTTCTCATGACGATTTCTTTTCGGAATGCGTGCTTCTCTGCTGGACTTGTTGTAGTATGATTTTTTACCCACGCTTTTTCGATCTCCTCTCAACCATTCAAGCTTATCAGAATTCCAGCGGATGACTGTCAAATTTACTCTCATTTGCATGTTTTCATGGCTAAAATTCATAATTTTTACAATGCATGGGAAAATTTCGCTTAAAAAAAGTCTTTTGGGGGATAAATTGAGGTGAGAGCGTTATAGCTTTCTACCTCAGCAGTGTTGAAGAATGGAGAAATTTTGTGAAGATCTTTCAGTCTTCTTGGATTTGTGGTCATTTCCCATAACATATCCCATGCTCTTTTGTGTTTTGGGTTTTTCAAATCAATCCAATCATTCCTTGTAATTGTCAGGACCCCGTGATCACAATGATGAATTTTTTTGAACTGAAACCCGTTCACATTCTGGAAATCAAAATAAGGATATGTTTTTGAATGCGAATTTTTACTGTGAAATTGTCGTGAACATTTGTAATATGCATGAAGTAAGACATGAATTTCTCGATTGTTACTTCTCCATCCCCTCCCGAAGATTGAAAACAGTGATAAAGATGGTTAGTTAGAGGACGGATCCAGTTTTTGACTGGCAGCATTTGCTTTTGGTTCTGCTTCTATAAGCAAAAAAAGAATTTCAATTGAAAATTATTATTTTAAAATCATAAAGGTTTCACATTTGCTGCCAAGATAATTTTAAAGTAATGATAAGTGAAAATCTAACTTTCCAAATCGTTTTCTTGATGTTTCGAACGTAGTGCCATCCGTCGTACTTTTGAGAAATTTCATTAAATTTGTTTGTCAGAAGCTTTGTGACGGAAGAATCGCGCTCTGTTGTTAGGGTTTTGATTTTTACAGTAGCTGTTGGATCAGAAGAAATCCGATTTTTTTTGCAGACTAATCAGTGATTTTTCCAGAGATTTCGGCTCCAACGACTTTGATGACTCTGCGAATTTATGGTTTTCAAAGTTTAGCTATATAGGTTATTTGCCTGAATGTGTGGATTTTCTGATTAATTGGGTGTCAAGAACCAAGTTAGAAATGCATGGAGCTGGTGTTCTTCACCTCTACTTCGCAACACAGCAATCCACGGACGCTACGCGATTCTTGACATGCACACTAACTTGGTTCTTGACACCCAATTAATCAGAAAATCCACACATTCAGGCAAATAACCTATATAGCTAAACTTTGAAAACCATAAATTCGCAGAGTCATCATAAAAATCAAAACCCTAACAACAGAGCGCGATTCTTCCGTCACAAAGCTTCTGACAAACAAATTTAATGAAATTTCTCAAAAGTACGACGGATGGCACTACGTTCGAAACATCAAGAAAACGATTTGGAAAGTTAGATTTTCACTTATCATTACTTTAAAATTATCTTGGCAGCAGATGTAAAGCCTTTATGATTTTAAAAAAAGAGATCTTATCTCTAGTTCGACTTCCAATTTTCTTTTCTTCTTTATAAAACTTTCAAAATGTCTTCCTCTAAATTCCCAACTGATCCCTATTCATCTGCTCAACAAAAATGGTTATATCAGGATCATCTAGTGATTCCAACGCTGGAATTTTTGGTTAAAGACCATGTGAAAAACAAGAAAGTGTTGGATATTGGATGTGGAAATGGTAAGTGTTCATTTATACAGTCATCATCACAATAATTCGAAGTTAATACAATTTCACAAAAACGAAGTCTTAAACCAATGGTCCTGGAACCAGAAGGGCTTTCAATCCTCTAATCTTATTTTTATAATCTCTCAGTCTTCTCAAATCCTCGGAAACCTCATTTCCAACTTCGACTGGTCCTTCTCCACCCATAATTTGTCCCTCGTTGAGTACCATTACTTTTGAGAAATACATCAGCATACTGACTTCCATGTAGTAGGTCTCCTGAAGTTTATCCAAGGCTTCTCCAACTTCTTGAATTGTTTGTTCGCGGTTGGAAGTGATTTCATTCATCATACGGTAGGCGGATGGAAGTCTCTCCATTGCTAAGACTACAGTCTCATTGAACTTTTCCTTTCTGGCAAGCCATTTGGTACTGTAGGCGGCCCATTTATCCTAAAATTTTGTTTATAAATATTTTTCTACGATCTGATTCAAATTTTTTAAGCAAAAGATCCTTACCGCAATTCCGTGCTTCTCCGCCCATTGATCCCATTTTTCATCCAATTCTCTCAATGTCAACGTGTCGTTGAAAAGAATCGCAAAATAGTCTTCTTGAGCCTCGGATGTCAAATTTTGAAAGATTTGCTCCATTTCCTCACGAACAGTGAGCACTGGAGCACTGGCAACCAATTGGGCTATTAGGAATACAGAAGAGATGGCCAGAAGCATTTTTTGAATATTCAATATATGTTTTGAATTATTTTCCGATAAAAATTCGGTTGTTTATATACTAGTGGTCAACTATTCATTTGCATGTTTATTTTTGTATACAGATTGGGATGGATCTATACGATCTCAGCAGGTGAACAATCAGAGAATCGTGAGGGGGAACGTTTTTTGTTGATTCGGGAGGTTCATTTGTTTGTGAAATTAAATAATGCTGTTCTAAAAAATACAATTCAAAATTAGTATAGTTTTTTCTTTGCTTTGGTATACTTGTTTGTAAGAACTTTGAATGACCTAAATTCAATTGTAAAACTTCATTTTAGAACCAAAATTAAATTGTCTAAAAATGAGTCTAAAAATGTCAAAAAAGTCAAAAAATGCGGCTCTATCCCAAAATGAAGGTCCGTTCAAATTTAAAAAGTTTCTTAAAAACAACAAATGACCATTAAAATGGTATAAATCCCCCAAAGAGATTAACGGGGCCTTGAAACGGAGATTTTATTTTTGAACCTCCGAAAGCAAGAAGGACCTTCATATGGTCCTTAGGTCCATACATATAACTTCAGTTTTTTCATCTAATGGCTCCAAAGTTACAGCCAAGCAAAAACATGACATCCCTCGAAATCGTCAACTTTAAGACTATTTATCTCATTTTCTGTAATAAATATCAATAAGTGACCAACTAACACAATGATTATCATAATATCAGCAACATTTTATCAGTTATTCTCTTTTTAATATCTCTCACAGGAACCGAGATAAATTGGCTCAAAGTTGAAACTCAGTTTAAAGTTTCTCAAAAACTGTTCAAAACCAAAAAAAGTTCAATTTTACAGGCCACAACGCGACCAAATTCCTCGAATGGGGTGCTCAAAAAGTCACTGGCTTCGATTATTCCAAAGAAATGATTGACAACTGCAAAAGCCTTCACAACTCGAAAAATCTCTCCTTCCATCATTTAAGTGTCACCGATTTCAAATTCAACGAAAAATTCCACGTGGCAACTGCTGTATTCGTTTTGCAGTATGTGCATCAGAAGGATCAGCTTCAAAAAGCAATTCGTCTGATTTGTGAGCATTTGGAGGATGGTGGATTGTTCGTCGGGCTGATTCCAAATGGAGTTGAAGGAGTTAAAGCACCGGAGACTGCCGGGAAAATGTTAGGAGCGGAAATCGAGAAACGACAGCTTCCATTTGTGGATGGAGGACTGGTTACAGCAAGATTTTATGAAGGAGATAGTGAGTTCTGGGTTTTTTTTGTTGAAAATTTTTTCTGTTTCAAAAATTGAGTTAAAATTTTTAATTGTATATAGATTCTATTATGTTGCTTACTGGAAAAATATTTTTTTGGAGTTTGAAGTTTTGGGAATTCTTGGAATTTTTCGTTTATCGGAATATTCAAAAATTTTTGAACTTTCAGAATATTTGGAATATATGGAGTTTTAGGAATCATAGGAACTTTTGGAATTTTCAGATTTTTCGAAAGTTTTGGGAGTTTTGGAATTCTTTAGATTTTCGTAAATCTCAAAATTTTGGGAACTGCTTGGATTTTTGGATTTTCCGAAATTTTTGGAATTTCGGAAAATTCAAAATAAATTTTAAAATTATTAGAAAAAATTCTGAGTTTCTGAATTTCTGAATTTCTGAATTTCTGAATTTCTGAATTTCTGAATTTCCGAATTTCCGAATTTCCGAATTTCCGAATTTTTGAGTTTCTGAATTTTTAAGTTTCTGAATTTTTCAACAAGAAAATTGTTTTCCAGATATCAAATGCACTTCTACTATGGCTCTTCATTCAAACGAGTTCTATGAAAAGTGCTTCCAAAATGCCGGATTTTCAAAATTCGAATGGTTGGCGCCAAAAATTAGTGACCAAGGACACTCCATTCTGGGAGAGGAGTTCTTGAAGCAGTTCATGAATCCACCATGTGATATTGTTTTCAGAGTTTTTAAATGATTTATATGAGTGTAAAAAGAATAAATGTTCAAAAAACACTCCCACTGTTTGTTTTACAATTAGCATTATTCGCTTTCAAAATTTCCGTCGCCACTTGATTCAAAATTGGTCCTGTTGAGAGGAATGTTGTGCTCATAACACCCACACGATTTCTGAATCTTTCTGGAAGAATCAGAATTGCAACTTTTCGACGAATCGTTCGATTCCAAGTGATGTAGACCACGCAGACAGAGGCTAAAAGTTAGAGAGCATAGGAAATTCAGAGAGTCTAGGAGGAAATACCATGTGCACATTGCCAAGCGATCTGTCCAAGAAGAATGACTGGCGGTGGAGAATGGAAGAATTGCATGTAGACGTAAATTGTGGCAGCAGTGGATTTGCAAATGCAGATGAGCACGGATTGAACGAAAACCTGAAAAAGTTATATAGAAAAAGCATGGGGAGAGAGGAGGGTGCAAAGGCCTATCAACTTTGACCAATTTTATCTCATGTCCTGTGAAAGGTATCAAAAACTCTTTAACTGTGAAATACTTTTGATATTATGATGAACGTTTTATAAGTTGACAGCTTTCTGATACCTTTCACAGGAAGCGAATAAGAGTGACTCAAAGTTGATATTCAGGGTGCTTGTTCTTATTGGCACTGAGCCTTTTGATCTTGTGTGTCCTCGGTAGTATAGTGGTGAGTATCCGCGTCTGTCACATGCGAGACCCGGGTTCAATTCCCGGCCGGGGAGAATTTTTTTCTTGGTTTAAAAAAAGTAACTTGAAATCATATTGTCGAATTAAAAAAAGTGACACCTGAGACTTTGAAAATTTTTGCTTTTTTTGATCTACGAAAAAGTGCGGCAAAAACGTAATATTTCAGAATTTCGGCTCGCTCGAGCTACTTTCGCGTTTGAGTTTAGTTTTTTGCTGAAAAATAGATTCTAGAGATGCTGGCGATCATTTTTATACCAAGTCAAAATTTTGTTCAGAAAATCCCACTAAATTCACATAAATAAATTTGTTACCTACAGTATCCGTTTTCGCTCCGCCCCCCTCGTAAATCGACACGAGCGCCGTCTCCGAGATTTTCAGGTGTCACTTTTTTTAATCCGACAATATTTAGTTGATGTAAAAGATTTAAAGGCGCATGTGTCAAAACCCGAAAATACTCTCAGAATGGTAAACAAATATCCTAAAAACAATTTTTAATCAACAACTTTCTTTAGGCTTTTACCGTTTTTGAAATACTATACAACCTCTATTAGAAGGGCCCTCGAAGTTTGACCAACCGTAATTGCTCTAATAGCCACCTTACATAAGCCCACACTTATCTTCGTTCTCTCAGAAGATAACAACAAATTTTAAATTGATTAATAATTCATCATAATATTCCCAATATTTTATCAGTTGACAAATGTTTCATATCTTCTACAAGAAATGAGAAAAATCGACTCAAAGTTAACAGTCGGCACTTGCCGCCTGAGCTACGGCAGCCGACCTCTTGACTCTGAGCCCATATAACCCATTTCATTTAAGAGATATCAAAAACTGATAAATGGTAAAATGTTTCTCGAAAAATCGAAAAATATTTTGTCAGTTTACAATTTTGCGATACCTCTCACAGCAACCGAGATAAGTGAGCTCAAAGTGGACGACTAGAAGTCTACAACCTTATGTTATCACTAACCTGTTTCTGCGTTTTAGACAACGCATCCGATTGAGCATGTCTATTTTTCCAATGAATCAACAAGCTCAAATACCCATACAAACTTGCAGTACACAACGAAACCAAGCAGTTGTTCACAGTATAAGGCACATTGACATAAAGATCACTCTGTAAAAATCCCAAGTTTCTTATAAGATGATTAAAAGAAAGCAAACTTACATCTAGCCCAAGAAATGGGTTAAAAAACCAGCTCATGTAAACCGAGTCAAACAAAATTGGTTTTGTAAAAAAGATTGCATAACTTGTATAACAAATTGGGATCAAAAGTGTAAAATAAACATTTTTTCCGACGAACATTTTCCGGAATGGAAGATTATGATTGATATCACTGCATCGATTGACTGCTAGAAGAATACACGTGGCACAGGAACCCATCCAACATCCGCAACCAATGGATCCAGCTAGGAAGATAATACGAGGGAAGGAGCAAAATGTTGCTCCAATGAATCCGAGGTATCCGGTGACTAGAGAGTTGACAGTTAGGCAGCAAGTGTCCATGAGACCCAGATAGAGCATTATTTTGTAGCAAGAGGATTTCATTAGATCCGAGCGAGAGATCACGAAGAGACAAGGGAGGTAGATGCTCTGGAAATCGGAATTTAAAATAGACTTTTTCAAAAAATCTTAAAGTTAGCAAGTTGAGTTTTTTAGGCCACTATGGTGAATGACCTGGAAACGGTCTAGAAAAGCCACATAAAGGTTGGTAGCCAAGAAAACTGAACTTGCAAAAGTTAGGCCACTAAGTAAAAATGGCCTAAAAACCCACTAGCAGAAGGTCAGTCATTTCAAGGCCATAGAATTTGATGGTCTGGAAAACTCAACTATAGTAAATGGTCTAGAAAACACATCAGCTGAATGTAAGCCTATATTCGGAACAGCGCACTAAAAAAATTGCGAAAATTGGGCCATCATGGTAAAATGACCGAGAAACACACCAGTCAAACATTAGGCTATTTCTAGATAAGGAAAAGTGGTGGCCTAGAAAAATCAACTTGTGAAAGATAGGCCATCATGTTACACTGGGCTAGAACACCAATAGATGCATGTTAGGTTATTTTTGGTGCCATCAACTACGGCGGACTAAAAAAAGTATGTTAATTGGGCTAATGTTCAAAATAATGTATGGAATTTTTGGAAAGGAACGAAAATCACAACTTGGAAATAGATAATAAGGATTTTCGAAACAGTAATTCTGTCGGCTACCCACCAATATCAAAACTCCAACACTCATAAAATAAAGTCCAGCAAAATGTCTTGTCTCCCCAATAGCATAAGAATCTTCAATTCTAGAACAATTATAATAGTACGGATGTGGTTTGAAACCATTGCGAATATAGTAATTTAGCGATGATTTCCAGTCGTTTTCCATCAATTTCCATATATGGATCATTTTGAAAATCGAGGATGATGAAATTGAAATGAAATTCGAAAGCCTTGTATATTTTGTCTTATATCAGAATTCAATATTCTTTTCTATTCATTTGGTAATCTCCTATTCATGAAAACCCAATGGGGGATTACGTGGCGTTGAATGTCGTAGTCGGGGTGATGAGCGGAAGTGCGTAAATATCGAAGAGTGGGTAAAGAAAATGATGGCATTTGGGGTAAGAGGACAAGATGAGCTGGTTTTGATCTACAAATTCCTTAACGTGGCCTGGATTTGACTTGGAGAATGTTATCATGAAGAAACCGAGTAAAAAAAGCGAAGGGCAAGCGTTGGACAAGCTATGGAAAAAAGTAAGGACAGGCTATGGGAAAGATATGGATAAGCTGTGAGCAACCTAAGGGCAACCTAGGCTAGATTAGATTAGCTAAGACCAGTGGAAGTCCGGCTATGGGCAAGATATGGACAAGCTAGGCAAGTTATGAGCAAGCTAGGGGCAATTTGCCGTCATGCTATGGGCAAGCCATGAAGCTATGAAGCTAAAGACAAGCTATGGGCAAGCTTTAGGCAAGCTATGGGCATGGTATGGGCAAGCTGTGGGCAACCAATGATAGACTAGATCAGCATAGATTAACTTAAAGGAGGCCAGACACCAAGAAAAAAAGTTTTCCTGATATTTTGCATAGAGAACCCCCATGAGGGGTTGAACTCATGACAGGCAGCTCAGGGGTACAGCGCTGCTACCGGCTGAGCTAAAGGGGCGCGAAGGCGCGTGACGACCGATGGTCTTTTCATCATTTTTTGAAATGTTCAGTATATGTCATTTTTTGTACATTTTTGTTCATTTTTTTGTTTCTAAGCCTAAATTCAACAAATATCAGCTTAAGAAATTGAAATTACACAGTTTCACAGTTTCAACAGCAAAAAAAAAGTTGTTCGTGAAAAAAGCGACCTAAACTGAACTTTTTTGAAGTTATGAATTTTTATGGAAACAATCGCAAAGTACGGAATTTTCATAAAAACAGTGGCAAAACTTGAAAAATCGAAAAATCATCACTTAGGCATAATTTTTACCCAATGGGATCAGCTTAGGTTTGCTTAGGTCAGCCTTGAACAGTCTACATCAACCTAGACAAGTCTAGATCAGGATATATCAGCCTAGGTCATTTTAAATAACAAAAGTTTCTCGGAATGCTTAAAACTTTATTATCAAATCGAAATCCACGAATTTAGATAGTGCGCCACTCGTATCTCTTTCGTTGAAGTCTCTCCGGACGACGTCCTTCTGGATAGAACTGAATCGGACGACGAGTACGAAGACGAAGTGGGGCGTCTGGTTTCACGACGATGCGGCTGAAAAGAAATAGTGTATATTAGCAAGAGACGCAGAGAACTCACTCATCATCGCCTCCATCGTAGAAGACCCTCTTTTCAGCCTCATTGGATCCGATGAACGATGCGATAATCAGGAAAACAAAAAAGAGTTGGTGGAACATTTTGTGGAAATGTTTCTGATTTTCAGCTGTATTTGAAACCGGTTTTATAGTCAGAAAATTTCATTGGAATGTGGGAAATATGGAAATTTTATGCAAATTTATAAGAGAACATTTCTTGAAATCGCATAAGAATTGTGAGAATATTATACTTTCTTTTCAACAGAAATACGTTATACTGACTTCTCGATGTTTTCTTCTTTCTCTCTCCTCTGTTCCCTATTACCCCTTGTTTCATATACACCACATGGCTTGCGCTTCTCTCGTGTCCTCGGTAGTATAGTGGTGAGTATCCGCGTCTGTCACATGCGAGACCCGGGTTCAATTCCCGGCCGGGGAGAAACTTTTTAAAAAAATTATAATTTAACTAGAAATCATAGATTTAAAATACGATTTGCACCTTGTAGAGTTCGAAATTTCACATTCAAGTATTTTGTTAAAGTTATATAAATTATGTTGTCAAAATAACTAAAGCAAATAATGCGGCCTTACACTGGCATAATCTAGTTTAGAGTGCCAACTGTTTCAAAAAATCGTAGCGGTTTTTACTCGGTCCGCGTTGTCCGTCGCTCATATTCAAAATGCGATTAGTCTTTTTAATACTTCTACTACTTCCATTTTCCCGGGCTAATTGGATCGATTATCTGATGAACACAACAACAGGTATATACTTCAATAGTAAAATTTCCGAATTTGCAGAATATGATTTTTTAGATTTATACTGTAATGTATTAACATGCTGTGATGACCCAAATATTCATTTCAAGTACCATTGTAAGTTTTTGAACTAGCTTTCAATTAAGTATTATATTAAATTTAGTTCTGGAAAGAGAAATCAAAACGCTGGTTTTCGGGCAGCATTTGGTGTCAGACGTAGTCCTAAACGCGATAAAATCTCATTGGTTGAAGGAGAATCCGCAAAAAGCACTGGTTTTATCTTTTCATGGTCCGACAGGCTGTGGTAAGAATTATGTGGCTGAGATAATAGCCAGAAATGCATTTAGGTAAGAATAATCAACCCATTATTATAAAAATCAAAGAAAAATTTCAGTGGTGGTCTCCGCAGCAATCAAGTAAAACACATCGTGGCGACAAACGATTTCCCGGATGTTAGAAAAATCAATGAATATCGGATTTCTCTTCGAGACCTAATTATATCCACAGTGAAGAAATGTCCAAGAGCTCTTTTCATTTTCGATGAAACTGATAAACTTCCAGCGAAGCTTCTGGATACAATCAAACCATTCATAGATTATCATCCTCTGATTTCTCGCTTCGATTTTCGAAAGACCATTTTTATATTCCTTAGCAATCGCGGAGGTTCTGAAATTGCAAATATTACATTGGAAAATTACGAAAATGGGTTTCCGCGAGAACAGTTGACAATGAACCATTTCGAACGAAGACTCTCTGAACATGCTTATAATGAAGATGGAGGTCTAAAAGATAGTTCAATTATTTTCCATCACCTCATCGATCACTATATTCCATTTCTTCCATTACAAAAAGAGCATGTCAAATCCTGCATTAAAACATATCTTCAAAAAAGAAGACATGATAATTTGAAGCCAAACGTCATTCAGAAAATTCTGGATTCTCTTGCTTATTTCCCAAAATCTTCGAATGCGTTTTCTGCTTTCGGATGCAAACGAGTGGTGGCAAAGACTGATCTGGAATTGTCAAAATTGGGAAATGATGAGCTCTAAATTTGTTTTGTTTCATGTTATTCTCAAAATATAATAATAATAAAGTGTTCTCCATGTATCAAATTTCAGTTATTCTCCAGATGTGTTCATGAAGATTCACACAAAAAAAAACAAATAGTATAGTGGCATCTGGCGGGTGAAGGAGGAGCAGTCGTAAATAGATCAATATCAAAGGTTTGGAGCCGTCCCGCCTTCAGCTCTTCGCGCATTTCTGTCCGTTTGATTTATGGTTCAATGATTTGCAGATCTCATTTGATTCACAGGGATCAAGTCAGAAGATAATTTGATAGATTTTTGTGTTATTATGTGTCATGCTCAATTTCACAATTTTTTATTTACAAAAACTCATATCCTCTCTAAGAGTCTCTAAAAATTCTTTAATTGCTACATCAATTTTTCATTTTACAAAACATTGAGAATCGCAAAATATGTTAAAGATTTTTCTGCTTCAAAAATGGATTAAAAATGTACTCATATTTTCACATGATGTTCCTTTTTGACTCCTTACTTTATATTTTATATCTAACCTCCAAAATTTGAGGTTCTCCAAAATTTCGAAGCTCTTCATTCGCTTTGAGATAGAAACGGACAATAACTTCTGACCCACTTAAAACTATTTTTCCATTTTCTTTGCAACATTTTTTGCTGTTTCAAGATAATAATGAGAACTTTCTTGGTATTTTCAGCAATATTCGATTCAGTAAAATTTCAATATTTCACTGTTTCCTTGACATTTTTCCACAAATTCGTCTCCTTATCAGAGTTATAGATTTTAACATTTTGATTTTAGATAGTGAAAAATTGACTGAAATCGCACAAAAATCGAGATAATAAATATGAAATATAGGCATATTTTTTTAGTTGATTAAAAAAAATAGGTCAAATCTACGCCCTCTTTGAAATATCCAAATTTCTTTTGGCATAAAAGTTATCTGGGGAGCGATTTAAAACTCACTTGGAACTAAAAAAACACAATTCGAACTATATTCCCATTGGGTTTGAAACAGAAAATATTTTTTGCTGTTTCAAAAATAATCAGAACTCCTTCAATAATCCCAGCTATATCGTGGTGCGGTAGTTTTTTTTTTGGCTAAATAAAATCGTAAATGTCAAATGACAATATTTCAGAATTTCCGGTGTGGGGCACAATTGACTGGACTGATAGAAACGGGTATATCTTCAGACACGAGTGTCTTGGAAGCACGAAAATTGGTAGAATTATAATTTAGTGTTTGATTCGGAGCTTTTGAATAAGTCAAAGCAATTCTTCAAGGCTAGGTATTGTTATAAATGTCCAAAGATGTTGTGATTTTCATGAAATGAAGCCACTTTGATAAGCGATAACTCAGTTCAAAATTGATAAAATAATTTGAAACTTGGTCAGTTTATTGATGGAAAATTTCAATTTGCGCACTTCCAATTTGAGCTCAGTACAACACTTTTATCAAGTTTTATGCTGGTACAAACTTTAGTTCGGGTAATGATGCGCTACTCTGTGATGTTTTCTTGAAACCTCTCTACTGAAGCTTTCCCTAACTTTCATCTAATTTTTACTGTTTCAAAATTGGAATGAATTAGTTTGAATGAGAATTATTTTTGTTTGAAACTTTTTGTCGGTTTCTAAAATGGAATTTCAAATCGAAGTCTGAAATTTTGTTAATTTCCTAATTCATTTTGCAGGCTCGATTTTTTAAACGTATCAACTTCAAATCGTTCATTTCTCAATTTTTCTGAGCCTGGGAGCCTGGTGTAAAATAACTTTTTCTGTTTCAAAAAAAAAATTAAAATCAATTTAAATTTTTAAAACTCTATTTCTGCACATATCATTTCCACTATCTCCAAAAATTTTCGCACATTCCCCACCCATTTTCCCCTGATTTCCGATCAGCCGAGCACTGGCAAAAAGAGCACACTCAAAAAAATAGCAGAGCTAAAAAGGAAATTGCGTAAGTGGCGGTGCCCTTGGATGGGGGTCGATGGACACTTGATTAGAGTATTCTTTCTCTCTCGCTTTGCCATCCTTTAGGGTGCTCCTGTGTCTGTTTGTCTAATAACTATCAAATATCATGAAGAGAAACAGAGAGACAAATAAAGCGAACGAGTGATCACACCCTCCGGTTAATCATGGCACAAGAGCAATTGTGCTCTTCTTCTTTATTTACTTTCCTTTTAATAGGTCAGGTATCTTTTTTATCGTTTCCGGTTGGCGTGGATTGAGTCCCTGGTTTTTTTTTTAATTTTTGGCATTTTTTGAGATTTTCCTGAAAAACCTTATCAACTTTTAAGTAAGATTTAGCATTTTAAAACGCTCTAACTTTATATGTCTTTTTTCATGAAAAATGTTCACCGTTTCAAAGTTTCTCTTTGTTCTCTCTCACACTTGCCTTCCTACTTTATTCTTTAGTTGAGGCAATTACCCGGTGTTTCTTATTGGCACTGAGCCTTCCTGTTCTCCCGTGTCCTCGGTAGTATAGTGGTGAGTATCCGCGTCTGTCACATGCGAGACCCGGGTTCAATTCCCGGCCGGGGAGAAATATTTTTTTTTAAATTTAATATTTTACGGTTATCTGTTCAATCCTTGTTGGAAAACATGAATTTGAGGATCTGGCAAAACTCGATTTAATTTTTGCTGTTTCAATTTGAATGAAAACTTCCAAATCTTTCTCAATTGACGTTGTATTCTTCTGTGCGATGTCTAATATTCCTAGAACTCCTCAGAAAACCAAACCTGAACTTTTAACAAGTTTTGTTCTGTTTCACTTTTAAAGGTGGGGGGACAGGAGATTTTTCGTAGTTTTTTTGTAGCTAGAGTATGCATTCTACCGTCACGGTGTACAACGCTTAATGTCACTCTGTGTACAGCTGTCGTCCTCGCCTTTATGTATGCAAACGGGGGTGCGTTTTCTCTTTGCCCGCGTGGCTCAGTCGGTAGCGGCGCAGCACCCTCAATCATCGCCCTCACAAGTTCAACTCCTCGAGGGGCATCTTTGAACGGAATTTCGAGAACATTATTTTTTTCATGTCCCCCCACCTTTAAGCCATAGAAATCGAATTTGATCAAGTTTTAATGAGTAGTTGAAGGTGGTGTGCGGGGAAAAATTTTTATTGCTTTATTTTGTGCAAAAATCCATTTAGGTGATCATAAAAATAAAGAAAAAATTCAAAAAAATTCCTTCATTGAGAAAAACGGCATCGAAAAGTCAAAGTTGTATCTGGTGGCCTAGCGGCCAGGTGTGAGTTTTCTAGGCCAACTGCTGGTAAAAGCGCGCGAAATTCGAAGTTTTATTGATTTTTAGTGTTTTCTCTGATTTTTGTCAGGTTTTTCTCATACACCTGAGAGGGAATTAACAAAAACATTTTCAAATCTTCAAAAAAACATTAGAGAAAACACTAAAAATCAATAAAACTTCGAATTTCGCGCGCTTTTACCAGCAGTTGGCCTAGAAAACTCACACCTGGCCGCTAGGCCACCAGATACAACTTTGACTTTTCGATGCCGTTTTTCTCAATGAAGGAATTTTTTTGAATTTTTTCTTTATTTTTATGGGAATCTATACAGAATTCTGCATCGAATGAAGCTATAAAATTTTTTTTCCGCACACCACCTTTAATGCTGCGTTCCAAGTTGATTTCCAGGAGAAATTTCCTGGAAAAACGTTGTCCAAAGCTTTTGGATATTGGTTTCCAGTTTTCCAGACACACTAAACCACTGTATCACTCGTTTTGACTGTGTTTTTAGTGTTAAAAATTGAAATTCATGTCGATTTACGGTGGGGGCCGAATCGAAAGCCTCTTTGGAAATCTGGAAAACGGTGGTAGCTTTGGACAGCGTTTTTCCAGAAAATTGCCCCCTCAATTTGAGGTGTACAGCAAAAACTAGAGTAGATATGAGAAATCTGTGAATGCAGTTGGATTCAGAATCAAAAATAACCCTAGGAACCAAATTTTCAGAACCCTACCATTTTCCATACCCTCACGGCAAGAAAAAGGTCCATTTTCGACCGACGGCGGAGAGACTAAGTACTGATTTTTCGATGTGTTTTTTGTTAGTTGGTTAGAATAAATGGATTTTGTTGACTGAAGGGAAAATCGGATTCAGACATGTTTACTTTGAAAGAAAGTTGCGAGAAACATCTTCAGAAAAAGCTTAAAACAATGAAAAACGTAAATAAAACAATTTAGAGTAGATAAAATGGTCAAAAAACGACCTGTGCACTAAAAACATCTGGGGGTCCTATAGCTATGCGACGGTCGAAAATGGACCTTTTTCTTGTCTCTAGTTTTTGCACTCTAGTTTTTGCTGTACACCTCAAATTGAGGGGGCAATTTTCTGGAAAAACGCTGTCCAAAGCTACCACCGTTTTCCAGATTTCCAAAGAGGCTTTCGATTCGGCCCCCACCGTAAATCGACATGAATTTCAATTTTTAACACTAAAAACACAGTCAAAACGAGTGATACAGTGGTTTAGTGTGTCTGGAAAACTGGAAACCAATATCCAAAAGCTTTGGACAACGTTTTTCCAGGAAATTTCTCCTGGAAATCAACTTGGAACGCAGCATTAAAGGTGGTGTGCGGAAAAAAAATTTTATAGCTTCATTCGATGCAGAATTCTGTAGAGATTCCCATAGTTATGCGACGGTCGAAAATGGACCTTTTTCTTGCCGTGAGGGTATGGAAAATGGTAGGGTTCTGAAAATTTGGTTCCTAGGGTTATTTTTGATTCTGAATCCAAGTGCATTTACAGATTTTTCTTATCTACTCTAGTTTTTGCTGTACACGCCAAATTGAGGGGGGTCCTATAGTTATGCGACGCACTGTATATTATTCTTGAGCAAAAAAATTAAAGTTGATAGCCACGTTTTCACACAAGTTAGTCCACCGTATTTCAAGGAGAATTTTCGAAAACACAGCCGGCAAACGAGTGCTACCGTAACCCAGCAATAAATATTTTCGCAAAATTTTTG